CAAGCTACAATGTAGTCTTGAGTGAGCATAATTTTTTCAGGATACAGAAAGCCGTTGTCTTCGTCAGGGGCTATGATTATACTAAACTATTATTTGACAACATGTGAACGTTTCTGTTGTGAACATTTTGTCCTAGTTTTATTGAATTTAAATTTGGAGAATTACTCATATATTGGCATTTTCTTGTTGTTCTCATACCAATGGCGATTTGCATTATTTAGGAAGGTTGTGTTCTTGCGGGAGACTCTTTCCTCTAATTGCTGTGGGTTGGATACGACGGGTATCCCTTCAAGACGATCCTAGCATTAAGCCCAGCAAAACATCTAATTTTATAATGAAACAGTGATATCATATTAAAATCGAAAATATTTATTTCAAAAAATAAATCATGTGACACCTTGGTTCAAACCCTTCTAAAAAATAAATGATAACAAAACAGCCTTCTTTAAAGATATTCATTTGATTACAACATGTGACGCATTGACTATGTCAGAGGTAAACTCGTCATCATCCTGGAAACAGACCTGTACCTATGCGCACACGCACATATATATATATATATGATAATTATTCGGTGGTATGTGTAACTTGCTGTGTTGTAATTTCAGTCTACTTGTTGGTTTCAGACATACGTTAACAAACACTGATGAGAACAAGACTTAATCTGTAAGTAGCTCGATTGAAATCGCTTTGGTTTCTGAATGCTGTATATTTCCAGTATTAAGGTTTTTGTTTTCAAATTTAAGAGCTTTTTCCTTTTAAAAAATACTTTTATTCAAAAGTCTGTAAGTAAACGTGTTTTATGAAATCAGAGTGTTGTTATACCAATATCCTACATATTAGATTTTTCTCTATTACTTGGACCTCAATATCATCACATTGTTATGCAGCTCAATATTTATAATAGGTATCCGACATTATTCGATCCGTTACCTTGGAATTATATACTTCCTTTTACAGGTTGTAGATAATCAGCATGCATGAAAAGGTGACTCGGTATTAGGTATTCTAATGAATTCTGCTTTCAATCTTTTTCAGTTTAATTTGGATCTTTTCATTTATATCAATTTTCCTTTTATTTTCTATTCATTTATCTGTTTGCTTACCTATTTTTGAGAATTTAGTATTTATGACACACTTGTATGATTTTTGCAACTTTTTCCATATGAAAATAAGTCTGTCCTTTTGAACAAATGCTATTGTGTTCTGACCTCATTCAAAATCTTACTCGCTCTTTTGTCGTGTTTCTAGCTCATCCATAAGTACATTTTTAACTTCTTTCCTAATATTGATTTCATTTATCATGCGTCTTTGTACTTGAAATTAATAGATATTGGTCAAATGTTTTAGCTGTATGTATAGCACGAGGGTTGGAGATAATCTGCAGTTCTGAATACCCCGCGTTGTCATTGTTGTTTTAGTGTCATTGGTAGGTGGCGTGCTAATGAAACAATCAACAGCTTACCTCCAAACCACATACATGGACCTTTATAATTGTAGTTGAATGGTGTTCATATTATTATACTCTGAAAATGTAAGCAATTGACATTAACAGTGTAACATATTCCTAACAAATCAATATTACATATGTACATATATGAACGCCACGTACATGTATTTTGTTCTGCTTGAATTCTTCACTAACGATAAAGACTAAAGAATATTAAATTAGAAAAAGCCAACGACGATCGAAACCGTCATAAACAAAAAATAGTGCCTATTTGAGATCAGATAAAGAATCAAACTATCTGTAATTGATTATTCTAAACATTCATGATGCCCGTTACGGCCGGGTTTGCTTCAATCTTTTCTTTTTTCAATGTAATATCCAGTGAACTCATTTGATATCGACGAAAACAATACCATTAAACAAAGCTTATTCTTGTTTGTAAGTTTGAATTTATATATCATAGCTAAGACCAAGCCGTTTCCTTGGGAAACACAAACCGTCACAGTGTAAAGCACAATTGCTCAGATAATGTAAAATTATGTTTACATACACGTCTGTAACGGTTGTTAGAAAAGCATTGACTGTATTTATGACGTCAATTGCATTGCTGTCAGCTCATGAATATTAGGAATATATACATTTGGGTTTTTTCCTCTCAGTTTCATTATAACATATTCCTAACCTTTAGGTCATCACCAACATCCAACTATTCTAATTGCCCGGTATGTGTATAAAACTGTTTCCCGTACATCTCATCACTTTAATCTTACTTTTCTCGTAACGTCATTCTAGTATCTCATAACTTCATTCTTGTCATTTCTTAACGTCATTATAGCTACCTCATAGCTTCAGTCGAATTATTGCGTTATTGCATTCTAGTTTTCACGTTAATTCATTCTGCCTTTCTCCTAACTTCTTTCTCGCTATCTCGTAATACCATTTCATCTGTCTCGTAACTTCATTCTAGCTATCTCGTAACTTTATTCTAGCTATATCGTAACGCCATTCCAGCTATCTCGTAACGTCATTCCGCCTATCTCGTAACTTCATTCTAGCTATATCGTAACGCCATTCCAGCTATCTCGTAACGTCATTCTGCCTATCTCGTAACTTCATTCTAGCTATCTCGTAACGCCATTCCAGCTATCTCGTAACGTCATTCTAGCTATCTCCTAACTTCATTCTAGCTATATCGTAACGCCATCCCAGCTATCTCGTAACGTCATTTTGCCTATCTCGTAACTTCATTATAGCTATCTCGTAACGCCATTCCAGCTATCTCGTAACGTCATTCTAGCTTTCTTGTAACTTCATTCTAGCTATCTCGTAACGTCATTCTGCCTATCTCGTAACTTCATTCTAGCTATCTCGTAACTTCATTCTAGCTATCTCGTAACACCATTCCAGCTATCTCATAACGCCATTCCAGCTATCTCATAACGTCATTCCAGCTATCTCGTAACGCCATTCTAGCTATCTCATAACGTCATTCCAGCTATCTCGTAACGTCATTCTAGCTTTCTTGTAACTTCATTCTAGCTATCTCGTAACGTCATTCTGCCTATTTCGTAACGTCATTCTAGCTATCTCGTAACGTCATTCTAGCTATCTCGTAACGCCATTCCAGCTATCTCGTAACGTCATTCTACCTATCTCGTAACGCCATTCCAGCTATCTCATAACGTCATTCCAGCTATTTCGTAACTTCATTCTAGTTATCTCGTAACGTCATTCTGCCTATCTCGTAACTTCATTCTAGCTATCTCGTAACGCCATTCCAGCTATCTCGTAACGTCATTAAACCTTTCTCGTAACGTCATTCTAACTATCTCGTAACGCTATTCCAGCTATCTCGTAACGTCATTCCAGCTATCTCGTAACGTCGTTCTCCTTATCTCGTAACGTCATTCTAGTAATCTCGTAATTTCAATCCGCTTCTCGTTAACCTGCAATAATACTTAAGTTCATTAAGCCAACCTATGTCCTGACACTGACGACCTGGCACAAATGTATTTGTTTTATGTAATATACTTACACATCAGTATATAACTGACCATATGTACTTTTCAGATAGGAGTTCTATCATATATCATACAACTGTAGTAATACATAATGTTGGTGGGAAATTGTTGATTATTGTACTTGTCTCCGGTTGGGAACGTTTATCATCGTGTCCAGCTCGTCCCGGGTCGTTAATATGACATCTCCTTAATGTGACGTGTTTGGCAACGATACAAAAGGATACTTGTTGTACTTAAGTTATTTATATGTTTACTTTAACATGAACAAACACGTCTTTATTTATATTATCAACAACGAAAAGGTTTTCCTTGGAATTTATCAAAATAATTAAACAAAATGCTTTGCAAATTATTTTCCTAAACATTCTGCACATGACGGGATGTCACTAGCATGGGGCTGTTAAAGCTTTATCAATCATAACCGTCATGATTAAGCTTGCGTCGAAACATTTTGCTGAGAACATTTCCTGTTCTAATCCCCAGCCGAAGTGACACAAAATTTATCGTGTTGAATATTTCTTTTACAAAATTGGTCATTACGTGTTCGTTCAAACAAGCCTTAGTCATTTCGGCTTTGCATAAACATATATTGTCAAACATTCTCAGACTATGTCAAACCAACAGAAACACGCCCCCTATTAATATCAACAACACTCATCTTGTCTTAGATAAAGGAATTATAAAATTGTCGTTTCAATCTTATCAAAGATCATTTTCATCCAAGCGTTATGTTTATAAAATTAATTTTCTGGTGCTTGCGAACTTAGGTTTCATTTATGTCATATGTATAGAAAACAATAAAATGAACAGGGGTTCAATAGATTTTCTTTTCATTCCATAGAATTTTCATTTCTTAATGTTGAAAGGTTTATAGAATAGAGTGTAAGTTAATTATTTCAGAAGTTATCAAGATTGTACCTAAAAAATACAAATTTACATGATATATATCACCTTTAAATATAAGTATCGACACTTAGATACAGGCTAGCGAGGACAGTCTAAGTAGGTCGGAAGATACAACAAACACCAAAAGATGAGATGTATTAAATCAAAATTTCAAAAAAATCCCATAAATTTCGTTATTGCATAATGACCTTTGACCCGTAGGGTATACTACGGTGTGATTCTGATCTACATCTGTTGAAGATTTAAACTTTTACTGAAAATGACAAGTTATATTAAATGTTTAATCATATTACTAATCTAGTAACAAAAAAGTTACAAAGTTCATTTCCTGACGTGTCCATGATGTTGGACTCTCAATAGGAGTGCTATTCACATGCCGCATGGACATTGACGTCATATGCGTTGGTATGATGTCACAAATGTGATATTGACTGAATGTAATTCCAAAACCATGTAATATAAATCCGTCACATATGATATCACCAAATATTATTTATGCATAATGATATATTTTGTACTACAATCAAGTTGTTTCATTGTAACATTGATGAATATGACACTGGAACAAAACTATATTGATAAAGTTGTTTGTTACACAGGTAACCATTGTTCACCCTGGTTAGATGTTCAACATGACATGGTTATGGTCGTCGGTGTGGATGTCTCTATTTATGGTTCTGCCACTTGTATTAGCACAGAGAGTATTGGACCTACCGAGCAGTAAGCACGTTTCTCATTTACATATAAAAGAGCACATGTCTACAAAATAATTTGAAACTAGTTGTAGGAAAGGCTGTGTAGAATATATTTACAAAATATTCTTCACGTCAAGAAAATTGTTTTAAATTGATTTGTGTAACACAAAAAACAACATATTGTCATTCTGTTATGTTAAGAAAAACATTTCGATACAGTTTTAGTTGTCAAAGTACACCGATACTGTTAACATGCCCATTTTGGTGGTAACCTTATTTTCGCGCATAAAGTAGTGCATTTGGATATAAATGCGCGAACTCCAGCTTCTGTATGTAGCTATTAGGTGGTTTGATGCAAAAGTCAGATGGTGTAATTTTAGCGGAAGTCGTGAAATATTGGTTTTGATGAAGAATGTCGCTATTTTTACTACTATGTATGAATCTCCAGACCGAGGTTGATGGTTACATAGTGAAAGAAAACAAAATGTTTCATCATTTACCTGATTATTAAGTATTTTCTCCTGAAATAAAACAACAAGACGAATTCAGTCAGGAAGAAAAAACTAACAATTTTGTCGTGAACCGGATCTATATGCAAATTACCTTAACACATGATCTTATGTGATTTAAATCATTTTCCCCGGTAAGCCAAGGGTTAACATGCTCCAGGGTAAAATAAACACTTAGGTCTTTCTTCCGAACATTTCATGGAATTAATTAAAATATTATGTAACAGCGGTGCTAAAACCGGTAACTTTGAAGTGTGATTCATTTTGAAACCTGATTTACAATTGCGAAGTATTCTTTTTAACTTAGAATGTAAATGAATCACTCTTGTTGGCCCGGTTGTAAACGCGCCGTGGGAAGAAACCGGAGCTCTGGGGAAAACCCACATGGTCAAGTAGGTGACTCTTGCCGGGAATCGAACCCCGGACGTCAAGATGAAAGGCAAGTGCGTAACCACTGCGCCACCCGAACGTTTTTAGTGAACTGTTTACAGCATTAGAGTTACATATTTTCTTTTACTAAGTAACCTAGATTAAGTTTGTGTGTTATGACATAATGTTATGTTTTAATTAATTCGTAGGATGTTACCGTGAGCCGGACCCAGCGTTATGCAAGATTGGGCGTGCACGGTACTTCTTCAACGCCACGTCAGAGCTGTGCGAGGTCACTAGGAACACACGATGCTCCGGACGCAGACCAACCTTTTACTCAACAATATCTCGATGTATGCAGCGATGTGCATGTAAGGCAGACGCCCATCCAGGCCCTTGTAACGGTTACAATGTTAGGTACTACTACAACACTAGATACAGGATGTGCACTCCCTTTGTGTTTGGAGGCTGTGGTGGGAACTTTAACAACTTCCATACGTTCTTCGACTGTCAATGGTCGTGTAACCCAGGCTTCTTTGCATTTGACTAAGAGAAACTGACATCATGTTTGTGAGAAAAATAAAATAATCCGGTACGTGCTGACGTGAGTTTGTATTTGAATCAAAACATATTCTATAGCTGTGAAACTGTCATCACAAATCCCCACCGTTTTTTTATATTGCCCTGATTGTATTGACATTACGTCATTTTTGTTCTAAATGCGAAGACGCTGTGTCAATAATGTGTGTTAGTTTGATATGGTCTTAACATAAGCTGACCTTCCTTGTTTTCTTAACGGTCTATTCGTCCTTATAAGTTAATACTGTTGTATATTTTGTCTGGACGTATTGTCACTATTCTTTATTGTCTTACCTGAAACTGATTGCTTCTGTACGAACTGGCACTGACACAGAGAAAAAAAGTAACATTAAAGCAGTTTTTAACAAATTATTTCACTGTTTCAAACTCCAATACGTGTTGACTATATCTTTTAAAATGCATTTGTTTAAATAAAGAACTAATTTCGTCTGAATGACAAGGTTCATTATTAAGATCTTTATACAAAATACACATTGAATGTTTGTTATTTTATTAATCTTGTAACTAGACTTTGAAGAATACAATTTCGATTTTCACTTGTTTTAAAAATGTTTTAAACCCATGCATCGCCATTGGAATCATCAGTAGAGTCTTATTGAATGCATCATTTAAGATTGTGTAAATGGCATACAAATGAAAGGCACCTTTTAACATCATTTAGTATTAGATACAGTAGAGCCAAATAATGAATTAAATTGTATCATACAGCAGTTTCGTCCTGTTATGACTCGTCTGTGATGCTGAGGGTCTAATTTCTGAAACCTAGGAGGCGACTAAAGACAATTCAAAGTGGTTGAAAAATGTCAAAATCTAGATGGTGATATCCTATCCACTAGCCCAAGCATTTAATGATTTAGCGATTTTCTTATGTCTCATCATTTCAGATGAACGAAGAATGTCAAGAAGATAATTATAATATATGTGAATATCGCTTTATTACTGATATACCTATACAGTAGGTATGTCGATTGAATTTTGTTTTCGTTAGATTTACCTAGACGTAAAGCGTACAAATATTTGGTATCAAGGAAACTACTCGGTGTTATACTGTTGTGTATCTAACCCCCAACCCCCTTCACCCCACCCCACCCCTCCCCATCCCAAATCTATATCGTATTTTGTAAACAAATTGAGGCTATCTGCCCGTATACTTATTAACAGGATGACAATCATCAATACAAACATTTACGGAGATATTAGTGCCAACTGTATAAAAAACAAATTCAATAATTTTTACATATTTTTAGATAAAAAAGAATAAACTAAATATCTTCCATGTACGGCTAATTTGTGTTCTATATTAGCAAGAGGTAACATCTGTTTGTTTACACGACTGATGGTCTGCTGATGATGTCGATCGTGAGATCGTGAGAGTTCTTCAGTGTATGGAAGCCACTCCCAGACAAAGCCTATGAACTGATACTGATTATTAAGCGGTCTGGAGTAATAGATCAGCTGTGATTTGAAAACTCCCTTCTTGGAAGAGATTGGAAAAGTATGCTAATTAAGTTTCTGTCCGTTCACTAATCAATTATTCTATTTCTTTTCCGTAATAGCAAAGGGATGTTCCGTTTCGTTTCGTACAATTTGGCTGTTTGAGGCCGATTTCAAAGATATACTAATTATACTATATACACAGAGAGTCATGGAACCTACCGTAATAGTACTTCCTTGTTTACTATCGTTTGTCTTAAAATTTTGTTGAATCGCGTTTAAAGAAACCATGTGTCTTAAATGGAGGACCTTACAGTTGAGTCTGTTTAAAATCAATTGAAGCTTCTATCGTAAGAGGTGCGTTCTAATAACAAGAAAAAGACTTATTTCAACCTCAAATTTGGAATAAGGTACAATATTTACTTAAGTAATGGTAAGTATGATATTATGAAAATTAGTTTCACTTACAAAAAAACTTAAGTTCTGTCCTCAAAATTCTTTTCATTTGTCAGACATGAAGCATAATAACAAATGTGAAATTCTTTTTAACACATAATCGTGTTTGCATTCATAATTATAATGTTCTCTCTGGGTACTCTCTCCAATTCTAACCCCTCTCTTCCTCGAACCCCTCAAAAAAATGGGGAGGGGGTGTAAAAAAGATATTTGACTCCATAACCATCTTTCGTTTGTGATTCACAGTGCCCTTAATACATATGACGGAAGTAACAGCCAAAAACGGCTAGGAGTAATCATTAACGTTGGGGTTTCATATTATTCATTCTGATAAAAAGGTAGTATATATTCTATAAGTACATTTACACATAAACAGAAAGTAGGAGTTTTAATCATTGGTGATGATGGAACACCACTCTTGAGAGAATTAGACAGCTTCATTCAGTCACTATGACCTAAGGATAAAATGATAAACATGACTACATTCAGTGAGATTTATTTATTCATTTATTCACTAATTTATTTATTTCACTTTATTTTAATTATTCATTTTTCTCAATTGTAATTATAGCGGCTAATGACAAGTTCTAAGTATGACGTGCGACTGCGCAGCAATGGCAGAAGATCATGATATATCGCTTCTGTAAGTTGTCAGAAATTAACCTACACAGCGTAAAGCGCAGTGCTCATATCAGTATTATACTAAGCTGTGTTAATGATGTGATAATGATGCTCCAGTGTTTTACATCACAGTTATCTTATGTCTCTGTCTTCGTTTTCAATTGGGTGTTCTGGTTAATACTCAATTACGAAAATGTATCGATGAAAACAATTCAAAGTGATAGTCGATCTGTTCAATATTCATGGTTATAGATCATGGGCAAAGCTTTATCTTCGCGCTGGAGTTCACCATAAAGATATATCAACCGTGGTGATCAGATGAACATATAAACAAATCAATTTGGATTCTTAAACATTGAGAATGTAAATTAAAAATAACCAGCACCGATACATGCTACGATAAAAAAAATATAAAATTTTGTAACCAGTGGCTGTACGCTTGTGTGCGCATGCGTGGGATACGGAGGTCGAACTTAACATTGCTTTAGAGAAAAATCGAAGGTTTGGGTGCTAGAGGTATGGAACTTGTAAATAATTTACTATTTTATTATGAGATATAACATCAAAAGGTCCAACTAAAATAAATGGAATTATCCGAATTTATGTTGATATCTAAAACTTCAATATTAAAGGTTTCCCAAGGTCGTGAGTACTTTTTACTCGTGACTAATCACCATTTTTTACCTGTGTCGTAACACCTGTCACCGACAGGTCATTCTACGACAGAAACTATATTTATATTACATTATCTTACATCATTTTATTTCTCTCTTAATAAATAATGTTTTGAAGATGTATATTCTCCTGTATACAGCTGACACTGTAATTCTATCTGTATTCTGTATTTGCTAACGGTTTATAGACAGCCCTAAATATTTTAGTGATTTTTCTCAAATCTGGAAGTTACATGTTAACACACAGAAAACTCAAATTGTAATATTCACAACAAGGAAATGTCGAAATAAAGCTAGATTTACATTTTTTGGTGAACAACTTGAAATTCATGACTCATATTCATACTTGAGAATATTATTTAACTTCTGGAAGGCAAGAAAAACATTATCAGAAAATTACACAACGTCCTTTTTGGGGATTCGAAAATTTGTTGAAAAATTACAGTTTTGTAAAATAAAAATTTAACCTGAGGAAAAGTGCTCATAATTTCATAGTTTATGGAAAGACTGGACATTTTCCTCTAGAAGTGGAAATAGAATTAAGAATGGTGCTTTTCTGGCAGAATCTGGAAACACACAATAATAATAAACTGTCTAACTGTATGTATAAGTTAATGTTTCAGTTACAGGAAAAGGGCGTGGTGACGTTTGAATTGATCAGTGATGTAAAACAAATACTTTATGATACTGGTTTAGATTATATTTGGTCCTATCAGAATGTAACACCGATAAATAAAACCAGATTGAAGCATTTATTATAACAGAGATTTCAGGACTATTTTATACAATAATGATCTGATGATATTGAAAATAGTAACCGTGGTCATGTGTACTCTATCTTTAAAACTAATTTTGGAATGGTGGGGTATCTTTTGAATCTCAACCATTAAAACATAAATATTATGTGTGAATTTGCTCATCTGACCTTCATTTACCATTAGAAACAGGTAGATGGACAGAAATTCCACGAGAAGACAGAATTGACATTTTATATACTGAGGAAGAATGTGATGAATTCCCTTATCTATTTAAATGTAATAATTCAAGTGTTTGTCAATTACGACGTAAATTCATTCCGGAATACTACTTTAACTACCCAAATCTACACAAAATGAAGGAACAGTTTACCTTAAGTAATGTTAAATTACTTAACAATGTAAGCTTCTTTATTGAAAAAAAGCTAAATTACTGTAAGGCCATCCTGCTTCTTTTCTCTTATATATACTATATTTAAAATAGAGAATATATATATACATTTTAGCTGCAATGTTACAATCAGTGTATATTTAACATTAACTTTTGATTAGACAATCTGTGTTGTAGTTCTTTAGTGATATATATTTGTATATATAAGGTAACTGCATTGTTACTATCTATATATATCTAATACTAGTACAGATGTATTGATTCGACTATCCTGTATTGTGTAGATGACATCCTGTAGCACACACATGTATATATGCCTGAGTGAAATGAAGAAACTTGAATCTTGAAAACTTTATTTTATAACATGGATCAAGAACAAACTTGTATCGTACGTTCTATAGCGGAAAGCAGAGAAAATATGTACGGGATGTGCGAATCCTGGGATATCACGTGAACCCTAGAAAATTTACATTATCTTATCACAGACATTAACCCGTCAATCATTGCTAAACTTGAGGAGTACGATGGCGCTATTAAGCGTATAGATTCGATATGTGATTAATGTCAAAGTTGTCTGGAATAGTTATCTCCCTTGGAAGCGAAACCCCGCCGCTACATG